TGATCCATATGGTGTTAGTATAGAATTGATATTTGAGGAGCCAAGAGGAGATGCAAAAGAGTTCTTTGATCTTTTGCGAGCAGTTGATATACCTTTTTTTGAAGGGTGTGATGATGGTGTCATTGTCTTAAAGTGGGTGTGTGAGCTCATGAGTGCAAAAGCACTTTTTAGCATGAGTGTTACTAATTGGGACTATGTGCTAAAGTGTAGTCTAATGGTCTTCAAAAAAGTTGAGAGGGAGAAATTGCCAATAGATTATTATAGTGCCAAGAAGATGTGGAGGTGTCTGGGTCTCGGGTATAAAAAGTATGATGTTTGTGTGAACAATTGCATTTTGTATTATGGAGAATATGAAAGTCAGTGTTATTTATAGTGCTCAGTATGTGAAGAGCCACGATTTAAGCGGCGTGATGGGCATTCTACTAAGCCTATACCAAGAAAGTCTGTGTGGTATCTTCCAATTATTCCCAGACTTCAGAGATTGTATATGTCTAGGAAAATTGCTGAGCATATGACCTGGTATTTAAATTGTCATAATGAAAATGAGAAAATTTTTCATCCTGCATGTGGAGAGGTGTGGAAGCATTTTGATAGGACTCACCCTTAGTTTGCTAGTGAACCGAGGAATGTTAGGTTAGGTCTGTGCACTGATGGGTTCACTCCTTTTGGACATTTTGCATCTCCATACTCTTGTTGGCCAGTATTTGTGTCAGTTTATAACTTGCCTCCAACAATGTGCATGAAGCAAGAATATGTATTCCTTTCATTGATTATCCAAGGTCCCCAAAGTCCTGGAAAGAATATTGATGTAATGCTTCGACCACTAATTGATGATTTAAAGCAGCTTTGGTATTCTAGAGTCCAAACTTATGACAGCTTTAGGCGTCAATACTTTTTGATGAGGGCTGCACTTATGTGGACTATTAGTGACTTACTTGGGTATGGAATGTTGTCTTGGTGGAGCACACATGGTAAATTAGCTTGTCCCTATTGCATGGAAAATTTGAAGGCTTTTTGGTTGGAAAACAGTCGGAAGACATGATTTTTTAATTGTCATCGACAATTTTTGCCACCGGAGCATCCATTTAGAAGAAACAAGAATGACTTCATAAAGGGTCGTACAGAGAATGGAACAATGCCAGAGAGATTGTCTAGTGATGAGATGCATAGTCACATCCATTGGTTGCCTGATGTACTATTTGGTAAGCCACCTCAGAAATAGGAAATCCACAGATTTGGTGAAGTGCACAATTGGGTTAAAAAGAGCATCTTTTGGGAATTACCATATTGGCACACAAACTTGATTCGACACAATTTAGATGTCATGCACTGTGAGAAAAACTTTTTTGATAATATCCTTCATACAGTAATGGATGACCCTATGACAAAAGATAACATAAATGCAAGACTTGATCTAGGATTGTATTGTAAAAGGAAAAGTTTGCCCATACCGAAAACAGGAGTGAATTCGGGTAAAAAGCCAAAGGCCACTTATGTTCTTAGTAGGGATCAAAGAAAATCAATATGTCAATGGTTGAAGGAACTTAAATTCCCTGATGGATTTGCCTCCAATATATCTCGATGTGTCAATACGCAAGAGGCACGATTATTCGGTATGAAAAGTCATGACTGTCACATTTTCATGCAAAGTGTTATCCCAATTGCATTTCGTGATTTATTTCCGAAACAAGTTTGGGAGCCACTTGTTGAGATTAGTGAGTTCTTTAGGGCCTTGTGTGCTCTGGTGATTCAGGTCAGTGACGTGACAATATGGCAGAAGAGGATAGTAGAAATCATTTGTAAGCTAGAGTGAATCTTTCCACGTTCATTCTTTGACAGTATGGAGCATCTTGCAATCCACCTTCCATACGAGGTTCATGTAGGAGGACCCGTGCAATTTTGATGGATGTATCCATTTGAGAGGTAAATATAATTAATGTATAATATATGAAAATAAATATAACTCCATATATGATATTGTGTTGCATTGAGGTTAGAATACCAATTTGGTACTTCAACTTTCAATTTTATATCAAAGCTATTATTGAACTTAAAAAAGAATTAAAAATGGTCCTTTCAAGGATCATTTTGAAACTTTTTTAAATTTTGAGGGTATATTTGATATAAACTTAGACGTTGAGGTACCAAATTAGTATTTTAATCATAACATAATTATATAATAATTCTTGGTGAATAAGGCGAATGCATTGTCTTAAGTTGACGGTGAAAAACAAAGTGCGTCCTGAAGCATCCATATGTAAAAGTTACATAATGTCTGATATCACAAATTTTATCTCTCATTACTTTGATGATGGAATACATAGTACAGTTGATAATGCTCCTAGGAATATTGTTGTTGGATTTGGTGATAATAGTGACCTATCCATCTTTAAATGTGTTGGAAAATGTATTGGTTCCAAAATTGAAAGACGTTGCTTGACAGTAGAAGAACGCAAAGCTGCTTCGTATTATGTGTTAATGATTGCGAAGAATTGCGAGGATGGGTCAGGTAAAAAACCTACACTAAAATCTTTAATTTGTTATATTAAAATTTATTGAAATTAAAATCTTTAATTTGTTATATTAAGATTTATTGAAATTAAAATACTAACAATATATAAAAAACTATTATCATATTTTTCTAGTTTATTTGAGAGAGAACAATGTCAAAATATGAATCCTCAACAAATTCAAGCAAAACGAGAGAGAGACCTAGTGCCTTGATTTGAACAAGTTGTGAGTATTTAACAATATGATTATTCAATTCCTTAACATATATATGTTATTTCTTTTCAAAGGCATCTAACATTTTCTTTTGCAATCTATATATTTTAGGTAATTAGTGATGAATTCACTAATGTCCATGAGCATATCAAAGGTTTATTCAGCAGTCCAAAAAATTATGTTTCTTGCTATAATGGATATATTGTCAATGGATTTTGATTTCACACTACCCTCTTAGTAGAAATAAGCGAACAATGAATTATGGTGTCTATGTTGTCAGATCTATTGGTACTGAATCAGATTATGATTTTTATGGTGTGCTTCAAGAAATAATTCAGATTGAGTATTATGGATCGATCCATCGATAGTCAGTTGTTTTATTCAAATGTGATTGGTACAAGATTCCTCCTGCTCAAGGGGTTCAAGTGGATCAAAAACATCGATTGGTTGACATTAATCCTAGAAGATACCTTTGATCTTATGAACCTTTCATTCTTGCTAGTCAGGCAAGGCAAGTTTATTACACACCATACCCATCTATTAATCATGAAAGAAGGGGATGGATTGCTACACTTAAAATTAAAGCTAGGAGTATCATTGAGGCTCCTGAGAATAAAGATGACCAACAAGAAGGATTGACACCATATTTCCAAGACGATGAGCCTCCTATTCCTCAACAAATAAATATTGATGACATTGCTTATTGTTGACTCAATGTACTCCAAGAGGGGGTTGAATTGGAGTTCCAAAAATTTCCCCCTTTTTCAACCACAAAACCAAAGTTAAAGAGAGTAGAGAAGAAGAGCTTGCACAATGAATTTATAGAGGTTCGGTCCAACCACTTGGAGCCTAGTCCTCTACCTTGGCTTCACTCACCAAGGATTTCCTCCACACTCTCCACTAACAACAACAAGGGTGGCTTAAAGGAGCCATTCAATCCTTTTACAAGAAGAAGCGTGTTTCTCTCAAATCTCACCCCTTTACACTTAAACCCCGCGAATTCTCTCTACAAATCACTCTTGAAGGATTAATCACACCCCTAAGATCACTCACAAATAAAACAAGAAGAGGATTACCAGTAAAGATCTCTCAAAGATCAAAAACTCAAGTTAAAGCTCATGTAGGTAGGTAAAGATATTCAATACAATGCTCTCTAAACCTCCTTCAGATCTTTTACCAACCATACTTATAACCCCATGGTCGAAAATAGTCGTTACTAGCCATTGGGGGTCATTTAATGCTCTGCAGGACGCAAAGCTTGAGTTGCAAGATTGTCAGGAGAGCCGGCTCAGCTTTCTAGAGCGGGCTCACCATTTCTGCAGCCGGCTTTGCGGGATTCCTGCACATTTTGTTTTCTTCCACAGCCGGCTGCAAAGCCTAGAGCCGGCTTTAGGATTCCAACTTTAAACATATTAAATAATCTTCAAATAACTTGATTGTTGTGCATTAAATGCACCTTCACAGCCGGCTACAAAGTGGGAGCCAGCTCAACAAAATCTGCAGCCGGCTCTCTGCATTTTTGCTTCCTAGCCGGCTGCAATTTTCTTAAGCCGGCTCTCTGCATATTTTTATCCTTTGAGCCCTTTTTAATGCAATCTCATTTTGCTTACTTTGCAGTATATTGGCAATTTAACTACACACTTAAATAAATCAATTAGTCACTCAAAAGTGTTTTGTAATCATCAAAATCATAGGTACAACACTTATGAACCTATGCAATATTCTGATGGGAGGTTTATTGAAATACATGAAGAAATTGATGTTGGGGAGGGGTTTGGGGAAGAGGATGAAGAAGGAGAATGGGAAGATTTTGAGACATCAGTAGAAGAAAACATAGAAACATATGTTGAGGAGAATGATAGTAGTAATGAGTAGGCAATAATATTGAAACTTATTATTATATTTATGGTTATTACTTGCTTGT